CCCTAACATCAATTAAAGGCCTTGCACCGCTGTGTAGCTTCTAGTCCCTGCCACATTAGATAGACAGAACTGATTGGCTGTCCATCTGTTGGCCCTTATTTTCTAATCCTCCTTGACGTTTGTGAGAAAAACTTCAGCAGTGGAGATATACACGTGACCCTCGGGTTAAAAATTTTACCCATCAATTTGGCGGAAGAATTCTGAATGTCTGCTGCTGCATCTACCAAGAATCACATCTTGTTTGTCAATTGTTTGGTCCTTTGAGCATCTTATCGCCATTCGGGTGAAATCATATAGAGCCAGCTTAAGAAATCGAACATTTTAGCAAAATATTTCTGTGTTAAGCTTACTACCGTCAGCTCCCATCACCCCACCAAAATAGCATGAGAGAAAAAACCTTATGGAGTCAGTGCGTTTTATTGGTAATCTCACGTGATTCTTAATAGCCTCAGACAACATGGCACACATGGTCCAAACCGATATCGATCTTGATCATACCCAACTATAACAACACGTGAGTTAGTGAAGTTCCCGCATATTGCGAGCATTTTTTGCTGCGTGTTGTGTTAACACGAGAAAAGGGTTTCGAAATCAGTCAGCCGATCGATAAAACACATGCTTGCCTCAGGTGGTAGTAAACTCTTTGTTCATTTGGTACTTTGTCTCCATAAAGTTACACTGAAATATCATTTTGTGTTTAGTACAGAGCGACGGGACTCTATGCAAAACTGGGAGAGGTTGATCGGTCGCGATCATTTCATGAGGAGGCTCAAAATCGAAAAAGTGACATTTCCTCGTTTCTGGAATTGCTCGCTTACTGCCTAGGTAGGGACGCAACGATGGAAATCCCATATCTCATCAATCCAGGTTTATTAGTTGCTTACAACTGAAGATATGTAAATGGTAAATGCCACCTGTATATTCACCCGCCGATTAATCCACTCTTCGTGACTCAAGTTGATTTCTCCCGTCTTCTATTTTAACCATGCCTACGCATACATGGTAATTCACTGGAACGTTCCGCAGTAGGAGGTCAACTGGAGGTTACATACCTGAAGGATAAAATGATGCAATGCGTCATAACTTAGTGTTTCCGGATTAATCGATAATTATCATTGTTTCTGTTCGGCCACACTACTTTCTCGAGACAATATTTTGCATCTCATTGTTCTTATTTTTCTTTGACGAGCCGGTGACAAATACCATGAGGTTCATGACTGTTGGACTAATTTATCATGTCTCACTCTCAGATGTGTTGTTCACATGTATCTCGATAGCCGGTCATCACGGAAAGTTTCAAGGACATTCGGATTTAGATGAAACTGTGTAACCTTAGCGCGCTTGAGGCATGCTGCTATTAATCGGTATCCTATGGGGATACACCGTTGTCGAAGGAGTAGTCTGGAGTTTCTTCAACCATTCTGCGCAAAGCTCACAACGAATGCAACTTCAGTCTACTTAGCACATCCTGTGATTTCCATTGTGCACCCGGAAACTAAAACTACGCTCACAAAATCGGATTAAACCGCGAGAGTTTAGTGAGCTGTATCGGTCGAAAAATTGACGTTATTTAGGGGATCCTACCACCGTTGAGCAAGTTTAAAATCGCCACAACTAGAAATGATTGTAGTGTTGTGCATCGTGCAACTAGTGGTGACATATTGGATGAGGATAAAATTATATCGTCGCTGCGTTTCCAGAATACTAACAGAATTGAGCTTCCGAATAGTTTGCATTTTTGTACGGGGAAGCCATTCCTATTTCTGAATTTGTGTTGCATATTACAGTCCTGGGAGCCGACAAACACTTCTAACTATTCCAGACGAGCAGGCGGTGACTTTGCGGAACTTCAACGAGATTTTCTAAGGTCTTCTCAAGAAAAAAACGGAAAATAAATCAAATATGATGGTTGCCTGCTAGTTTTTACAGCAGACTTCTAGTTAACTTATACACTTCCAAAGGGTCTTCGGCTGAGTGTGCTTGAGGGCATATGGAGTGGCCTGGCCAATACGTGGTCATGTGGTCTCCCATATATTGTGCCTGCCAATTCCTCGGAAAAATGCACAGAAAGCTACTACTTTTTTTCTAGAGAAGTATCTAATATTTTTTCGGTATGGATTATTATTTCAGGAAACTGCAGGGAATAATTACCTTAATCAAAGCACGCTGGACACCAGCATTGCAAACCTGTCCACTCAGATTTTGTGAATTTTTGCCTCAGTGTATACTGAGAAGTAAGCTAGTTAACTGGTTTGGGACCTGATTGTCATAGAAATTTCATTGAAAGTGGAGCGCAAGGTCAGAGAAAAATACAGGGCTATCAAAAGAACTGTGACCCGTGGTATTGTGCTAGGTGTCATAAACCACTTGGTAGTACACGGTTTATAAAATGGAGCTACGCCGCCTGGCATGTCGCGTCGAGTGATAAGATATAAAAGAGCTTCTCTGCTGTGATGCCCATTGGTCGAAACAATTGCGTTAGGAATAGAGAACGTTACCAGAGAAGTAACAAAGCACGAGTTAAAAACTAAGCGGGTTTGGGGACGACAAGCTAAAGAGCAAAAAATCCAACCAGATCCGCTAGTACGTGTTTCAAAAAATGCTTCTCATGCGGTACGGCTATGAACTATATCACCAGTTTTTTTCATAAGGGAAATTACTCACAAGGTTGCTGGGAGCTCTTCCACAGCCCACGACTGGTTTCGCCCTTCTTGGGGCTAATCAGGCAGGCGCAGTCCCCGAGTTTCCGTCAACCTTATGTTCTACTTGAAACCAAACTGGATAGATTTCGACAACAGGTGATTCAAAATTACTTACATCATTAATCCCCTCGTGACAGTGTGCTAGACAAGACACGTAGAAAAAACTAGCTGGTGGATGATCATAAACGATTCAGTTGAGTCTCTCGTGAAAACCAAATTGATTTGCAAATGAGAGTATATCACCGGTTGTTTAAAATAAGTTACGGCTTTTTGTTTAAGATTATGTTTCTTTAGACAACTCAAGTAGGTAATGGACTGGTTACATCAGGCATTTCATACAACCGTTATTTCAGGCATGCAACATAGCAGCAAACCAGTGCATTCTTCAACGACTTCTAAGACGGTGTCATATCCAGTGTGGAACGTGAAATGCTGCATCAGGGTCACCGACTGTCATTTTTTGCTAAAGCGACCAAGACCCTAGACAGTACCACCTAAATTCACTCAATAAATTTAGCATTTAACACAAGTTGTTTGCTATTTAGAGACAGTCTGTTTCGAAATATAGGTATTTTTCACCGTGTATTTTTCACCTCATGTACAAATATACCTAGAAAAATTTCCTCGACCATATGTTCAAAAGGCATTTCACTCGGCCGTAAAACACTTCACGCAACTAATATTTTGACACTGTATGTGCGTACGAAGCCGGTACACCTGAATTTTAATGCAGAAAAGTGCATAATCTGGTAGGATGCGTGCCAACTGCATGTACGGTAGTGCAAGCATGAGATCCCCAGTCACTCACATGATACACACCCGATTTGAGGTTCCAAACGAGTACCACAAAACGAGTCTTGCTGTAAATTAGAGTGCTCTCATAGTTTTCGGAAGAGTTTTGTAAATAAAAAATTGTCAGCTGTAACAATTTTCGGTGCCGAGCTGCCATGCTGCCAGGTTGCTAAAGCCTGGACATGGGGAGTCAAGAGAAAGGGGCCGGTTTGAAACCACGGACCTTTCGATCAATAAGTTTGTGTTCTAGCCATTATGCCATCTCGCCCCAACGGTTTCGCATAATTTAGGATAAGAGTAGTTCAAATCAATGCAGTTAATTTATGGCTTGGGGCACAACGTTAATTACTGCTAGTCCTCGGCTAATCAATAACAGGCCCATGGCAACTTCAGGATGGGTACACTTACGTACGTAGGACTGATTACAACTGAAATAATTGAATGCAGCCTGATTTCCATTTTACCCGTCCCAATAATTAACTGCTAATTATTCAGCTGGTTAGCGACATTAACACAATTTATTGGTCTTCTAAATAGACAAAAGTCTTGTTAAAACACGCCTGAAAATCATACTACAAAGTTTATTCTGAATGATCGCGTTTTCATAGGGAAATTCTTTCGTACTGTTGCAGCATCGTTTGCGCTGTTTTACAGTAAAATAAGCTACGATGCTCCCGCTAGGCACGGTTCCTCCGTTTTAGTGGATTTTTACTCACTCCCCGCCATAAACACTTCATTAGTGTGTTCAATAGGACTGTACTCTTGCTCTTTGGCGGTTATAACTTTTGTACCTTTTTTGATGTGGATTTTCTATTCGAAGAAATGTTAGTCCAAAAAAAGATAATTCAATAATTTTAGCTTCCAATATTTTGGGTCCTGTGGAGTACTTGGGTGAATAAAAGTCCGCTAACAATTGCTACTTTGCGTGTGAGAATCAGATTTGAAAAAACAACCGAAATATTTCCTGCTGTCACCTCTTTCCAACCAAGTTTTGTATCATGAGTAACTCACGTAACTTCAATGCATTAAAATAAAAGATCGCCATCCACCGAATGTCTTTTGTAGTGGAAAGACAACGTCTTTTTTCGTATTAACTAAAAGCTTTTTGTCTAACAGAACACAAATGCTCCATTTTATAAATTTATAACTAAAGCCTCACGATACAACCAGCCGTAGAGTGAACGTCACTTAGACGTTTATCAACCGTCAGGTATGGTATTCATGTGGTCTGTTAGAAAAAAAATAGCTAGATCTTGTTGATGTAGTTAAGTTGTCCGTGGAAGCAAATGTCGAATTCAAGGCGCTTTTGAGAATCCCATAATAAGAATCATAGAGTCGGGCACAAAGACAGGCACAAGAGCTGTCACGATTGATTTTCCTGACTTACCTAGGGTCGAAGAAATATTCATTGAAAATGCAAGGATCTTTGCAACCAACAATCTTTTGCCATCTTTCGGTTGACAAAATTATAAATAAATATTTGGTGATTAGAGAAAGGATTGATATTCACAAGAGGGTACACGTGGTACATGTCGTTCCTTTTCGTAGTGTCACACGCGCAGCAGCTTCGAATACTTCGGTCACGCCGTCATGATACTTGGCTGTCAATCACATCCATAAGCAATCCATCATCAACGCAACTTACCAGAGCATTCGAGGTAGCAAGCAGCTTTGATGTCTTTCGCCATTGCACGACCAGCTTCCGTTTTCACGGGCTGCTGCCTCCTCTGTCTGAGTGTGCGCACTACAGATGGATCAGCTCGGAGATCCTTTTTTAATCCAACAAGAATTATGGGAGTGTCGGGACAGAACTCTTTTATCTGTAAAGGGTGAATAATACAAAAATAACTTGATCAGCACGAATTAGAGAAATAAACTCATTTGTATGCAATTTTGACTTCCACGAGAAGCTCATCTGAATCACTTATGATATTCACTGGCTGAAATCGCTACACTGGGCTGCCTCATGTTTCAGGTAATTTGATACACCAGTATTGGAATACATCCTATAGACATAACACACTACTCTCGGTGTTGTTGAAGACACTTCGAAGGGTTTTCAATTCTGTTGAGTGACCATCGTTTTTGATTATTTCATTATATTAGTCTAAAAATGGGTGGAAAAACTAAATCTAATCGTTCTTTCCAATACGTCAGCCTTGATTAATAACGAAAGCCAGGTCGTTCTGTCCAAGAATAAAAAGCATCACTTGGATCGGTAAAAACTGACTGGTTTGAGGTGATCTGTAGCCCGGCCAAACTCAATCAACTAAGTGTACATTTGCAAGTTGGAGTCCACGAGAGGGCTTTTCGGCAGTCTGCCGGTTTTCGACGGCTCCAGGGATAAATTACAAGACCAATTCAGGATTTTTCGCCAGGCCTATTATTTTGACACACAAGAAGACAGCGCGCTACAACCTAGGCATCGTTGTAGTCTGGCAGTCAGGAAGTTAGTGTTGGAGGAAGGAGTATATGCTAGCCAGTATTAAGAATCCTTCAATAACCTCTACCTCTGTCATATCTGAATGTCGTATGACGTGTGGGCTGTGGAGAAAAATGAACTAATCCATCAACTGGGCGAATCATTCTTAAAACAACTGAGTAGCGCTCACAAACTTGGGACTGCGACATGGCCACTCTTCAAAAAGATTCGGGGGGTTAGTGGTCAAAGATTTCCGCTATTCTGGAAAACTTTGTTTTGCCAGCCAGATATTGACTCGCCTGTCACAAGGTATAAAACCGTATATTTCACCGAATGAGTACTTATCAATCTCATCGGAGAATCATCATATCAACAGTTTGAGTAATGCTTGAAACGCAGAAATGGTGTCAGTCAAACAACTAGTTCTCCAGGTAAAATACGTTTTTCTCGTTGAAGTGCCCGTGTTTCTGCCGATTGATAATAAAACATCTGAGGAAAATCCCGAAAGTTTACCAGAAAAATCTACCTACCCAAAAGGTAAGCTGCAGGTACTTCATAACGGAACACTCTTGTTGTCTGGCGCCGTGTAAAGCTTTTCGCCCTTGTCTAAAAATAGAACCCTCCATTTAGACGCTTTCAAATCTTTGCTACTTGACCAACTCTGTGTTTGGTACCATCCATCCTTATTTTCAGGTACACATTTAGCACTAAATTTGTACCCTTACTATACCCCTTGCAGGTACACCCAGTCTCTCCTGTTCCCTTATGGGCTCTTGCCCATTGTCTCCTTCCGTTTCCGCTACTGACCATACTCTATCCACTTGCATTCGCCAATAGGATGACTTGAGCTAGTCAGCTCGGGGGGTGTTGTAGTTGTGTGTTCAGCACACGGTACATGTGTGAGGGGAGGTGAGTTGGACCATGGTAAGTACAACACACGAACAAAGCGTTTTTGCCGACAAAGGATCGGGTCGCGATGTCGTATGGCGATAGGTTCAGCCACTGCGATTGCGCGCTGCTGTACTGATCTGGGTTGGTTAGCCGGCGCCTTGTGAACAACGCGGAAACTTTGGTTGGGTATCACGTTGTGTGCAGTGTCAGCTAAATGTTGCACTACGGAGCTGGTTATCATCCTCCGGCCGGAAAACTCCGAGCCTGGTTCACCAGCAATCGTTTGTGCCCCTTTAATCCCAAGGATAGAGTGCCTGTCCACGCCCAAAACATGTTAGTACACTCATTCTCTTGCTGCTGTGCAGCGAAATACATACAACGCACGACTAGGCAACTCGGCCAAAGAACGAAAGTAAACAATCCACCCTGGCTAGCTACTGGAACTAGGAGGACGATAACCAGCTCCGTAGTACAACATTTAGCTGACACTGCACACAACGTGATACCCAACCAAAGTTTCCGCGTTGTTCACAAGGCGCCGGCTAACCAACCCAGATCAGTACAGCAGCGCGCAATCGCAGTGGCTGAACCTATCGCCATACGACATCGCGACCCGATCCTTTGTCGGCAAAAACGCTTTGTTCGTGTGTCGTACTTACCATGGTCCAACTCACCTCCCCTCACACATGTACCGTGTGCTGAACACACAACTACAACACCCCCCGAGCTGACTAGCTCAAGTCAGACCTAAACTCAATACCATTAACTACGAAATATGGTTGTTCGAAGCGAAAACTTCCCCTCAGAGATGGGAGGTATACCATCAAAAGCGAAAATGCATGAACACGTACCTCACTTATCCATTTGTCGCGGACGTTCTCGAAACTGTCAGGATAAGCAATACTAAAGCACAAAATGATAACATCGGTATCCGGATAGGATAAGGTTCTCAGCCGATCGTAATTTTCTTGGCCGGCACTGTCCCACAGGGTCATTTCCATCTGGTAAATAAGTTAGTTATCAGACACGGCTGATCGCAGTGATACCCTTTTGTTGTCTATCACTATATCCTTGACAAACGTGTCAAAAACGGTTGGAACGTATTGTTGCGGAAACACACCTTTACTGAACACGATCAGCAGACTAGTTTTTCCACATTCCCCATCACCAACAACCAATAATTTTTTTCTGAATTCCACCGCCATCCTGGTTCCAAAAAGGATGAATTCGATGAGAAAGTCTGGAAAAAAACACAAAACACTGACAGAATTAGATAGAAAGAGTGTTACCGCGTATGGTACTTTATTCGTTCTCTCTTATGTCACGGGTCTGTCTCTTCTGTCTGTTATTTTTCATTCTGAACTGCATCAAATGATTTCAGAATAGCACCAGGAGTAAGAAAAATCATATTTGACTAGTTTCCATTCCCCCTATGAAAACGTTTCATATTTCAAACACAAACATTCCTATAGCTCCATTGATTGATCGCACGGAAGATTTCAATCGATTGTGTGCAGAAAATGTCTAGCCTTATCGTAATGGACAATCATCAGACTGATGGGCCGATGGCGTTGCAGTTGGGAGTCTACTGATCTGACTTCCTTGTCCGGATTTTCCTTTTACATCGACCTATTTTCAAATTGAGACTTCGTCTTGTAAGCGGAACCATCTACGCTGAAACGCCGTGAAAACGTTTACACCCGCTCCACCTTATTGAGAATTATAAGCAGGGCGTATATCATGTAACTGGAAGATTTTGGAACCCACCATCTCTCGGCTAGTAGGTTGCCTTCTGAAGGTTCAACTGCGAGTGGCTGACCAACAATGTGTTTGGTTTGTACGTACACTGCAGTGCTTTTCGGCTTCTCGGTAGAAACTGGCTTCACTTACAAGACCAAGTTTCCATCGAAGAATTCTCAAAGCTGCTAATAATCACTAAACTACAATGAAACGTTCCGCATAGGATGGGCTTCCATACGCCGTTTGCGCTGAACCGTGTGAACGACCAGGTGACAGTTTTCCTACCCGATGTAACCACATCTCCTAACGTTAGCCGAACTTTTTCAGGCACGTATTTTTTTTACAAAACGGACTCATGATTATGCGATTTACAAACCATGGAACAAATTGATGTTCAGTTGGAAAAAGGCGTGTTTACATACAGCTTTCATTCATTGGTGACTGGGTTGCTGAACTAGTTACTACTGATGAGGCACGCGAGTAGTATGTGGCTTTCTCGTATCTCCGCCTCGCGTCTAACTGAAGGTGGGGTTTACTAAGGAACCTGAGAGACCGCTTTGCAGCGTTTGTTTAAAATTGAGTGATAGTCAATGAATATCCACGAAAGTTCCAGAAGAGGCTTGAGGATGTTCAGTTTTTAAAAACAAGGTGCATTTGAGATGTCTACTTTCATGTCCAATAGTTTGTAACTGCTTTTCTGGTGTTTGAGAATAACATACTTCGCGGCAAAGGGCTTTATTCACTACACCAGAAGATTCAGATATGTAGGGCCATCAATGTGCGCTTAAATCTCAGGTCCAGTGCAACTATCACCACCAAATTCTAACACCAGCCTTTGCATGCATTGATTCGTTTGCTTGCGACGGGCATAACATACTGACTGTTTGTCAAGGCTCTTCTGAGAAAATACAAGAATATAACCTTAACGGTTAACCAAAGTCTTGGCCAGGTAGGATGACTTAACACTCGGCCAAAACTAGTCACACAAAGCGCGCACCTTCGTGGTCGAATACGATATAGCTCTAAGCCGATCGACCTTTCTACAATCCACACTATTATTGAGCACAAGTTTCTCACTTCACAAACCACGACTCTGTGCCAAAAATAGTAATGCACGACGTAGAAACTTGATATGCTCTCCGAATAATTTAGCTCTACGAGCATGTCTCATACGGACGTCCCCTAAATGACTGCATGACCTACTGACCCTTGCCCCTTTTATGAAGAGAATGTGCCCGTGTTTTTATATAAAATTTGCACATGAATTCCGGCACAATAGATTTGTGTGGGATTAGCCAGAAGAAGTAATCACAGAGAATATGCCTTCGTTACTAACCACGTTCTTTTAATGCCTCTTTCCATAGGGGGTCACAAAGCCCATTACATAACCAATACGCTGTAAGTTTTGCGATTACCGCTGAAAAATTTGACATTTCCCAAACATTCCTATCGAAGAGAAACACTCCTCAGGAATGTCTAAACTACCCAAGATACTAATCTTTCTGAGTCGATGTTGAAACAAGAAGACACATGTAGTCTGAACGACAAGACCCAACTGTAGCCACCTCCAGGTCTATACAATGTAAATCTTTTGTTTTCGGCCTAACATATAGATCCTGAAGGCGTTCTCTGTACTAATAACACTACCAATGTACAAGTTTTACCTGAGCAGTTGTGCTTTCGATCTTAACACGTAAACTTTGCGCCTAAGTACCTTGCAGTTATGTTGATTTGTCTGCATTTGATCGCGCGGTCACGTTGGTCGAATAGCAAATGGGGTATGAAGGCGCGTGATTTCTGCGACTAATCGGCGTCCTGGAATTATGATTTATTTTCATTCACCGCCATTCTTCCAACGGCATCTTAGTGAATCTAGTGACTTGGCGAATAGGGTTTTTTTGTTTAGCTACGTAATTTCGTAGATAGAGTTTTCCTACCTTATCTACCCGTATCTGCCAAGAATGTAACCTCACCAACGCTATCTGTCAAATACCATTGACAACTGTTAGGTTGTTTCTGAGCAAATTTTATTCACACACCATTGATGTAGCTACCACGTGCGTCAGCATCACCTCCAATTTCTCTAACCACTCTTCTCACGTGACATAAGGTTTCGAATTTCTTAGTCAACCCTGTCACTTAGTCCTTTGTATAAAGTCTCTAGAATAAATATTGCACTACAATTGAAATATTTATGTGCAATATACTCGGCACCTAGACTTTGGATCTTTTGGACTGAAACGTAAAAACAATGGAACCACTTTGAGTGGGTGGAACGTCAAACCAGCTTCTGAACATTTCTTTCTGAAATTCGCAAAATGGGTCATCAAATTTGTTTCTTTTTGCCATGATCATTGGAACCAAAAAATGCCCATCAGCGGAGACCTGGTAATCTGTCGCTGAGTTATGAAGGAATGCGCTTTGCTGTTATGCCCTTATTAACAAGATAGTTCCATTTTTTTCTGCGCACACTTTTCCGTTTACCTTTCGTACACAATTCTTATATTCTTGGCTCAGGAGGATACAGTTATTCTTAGCGTCCCAGAACATACGTCTTCAACCTATTGTAATGTGACGACTGAGTGGGAACCTCTGTTTTGCTGCTTTTATGAAGCTTAAAATCCTTATGAGCTTGTGATTGTGGTTGTCCGTACAGCGCTCAATAAGCTATGTCAATTTAGAAAACGGCGGCAGTTTTACGTTTTTAAACTCATCCCATTCGGATGCTCAAAACATCGCAACATCAACATTCTGCTTTAGAGTCTCGCATATCTGTAGTTTTCAAAGCGCCCTCATTTTGGTTCATATAAACTGTCGTGATCATTAATGAAACTCAAGTTTTCAATTTCATTTAGAGATGAAGGAAGAATTCCAACCCATTTACTGCATTTTTAGTGACTAGTGTCGTTTTCGTTCTAATGACTTTATTTACCTTAGTAAATTCCAGCTGCTACGCTAATTTCCAGTTTGATCAAATAATGCACTTTGCTCAGAGTTAGGTCTAAAAACTACGGTTTCCAGCAATCCCCTTTTCTCTGTTATTTTTTGCTTTTAAGGTATAAGCGTCCGTTTTTTGCGTCTCTTGCTTGAAGCGTATTCGAAAGAATGAATCAAAAGGGTGAAGAACCGTTTTGTGGCTGCGTGCCCCTGTCTAAACCCAAATCTCTGCCACTCTTAAATCAGGTGCTCATTGGCGGAGGCTTTCTTGCGGACTGGCGGATTTCACTTATCCAACCCTCTTATTCCATGTGAGCACATTGGATAAAAACTCATCAGCGTATCTACTTTTCCAGGCCAAAAGTCGATACTGGACCTAGTTATTTGTCTTTGTACTACAGAAGAATTCGTTTCAGACGGTTATCACCTTCTCTAAAATTTATAAAAACTCTCCGGTAGTAACCAGCCAGGTTACCAAAATGTTACTATGAATTTTCAGGTATGATTAACCGCGCCGTGACATAGGCTACGGCCAACTGAAAAGCGAGGTAGTAATGATACACTGGCGCATGATGATTTTTCATGTCTGAACGGGTGCATAGGTTTAGATGTAACACAACACCGAGAGCTCTTCAACAGCTCATGAACGGTTTCGCCCTTTTTGGTGCTCGTCGAATTGGAGCATTCCCAGAGCTTCCGTTAGCCTTGCATTTACAGGCCTTTCCTTGAGTCAGGTATGATTAGCGAAATGGATCAACCAACGTTTTACATACCAACTCGTCTACGTCGATCGAGTTGCTCAGGTAAAAACATAGTGCCTGTTCATAAATGATAATTTAGCTGCATCCAGCATGCGCTGTTGTGGTAGTTGTAGTGCTTTACTTCAAATTTTGAAATCATTCTGAAGAGATTAACATCGGATTATTGGTCTTTAACCCGCCACTGTTTCAGGCCACCAGGCAAACTAATCTGTACGATTAACTTTGAAGACAAGGGTCAAGTCATTTTGAGGACATCGCTACGTGCACAGGTTCCATTCCACCCGCCAGAGTAAGGGCAAGTTAACCGAATCTGTAGGACACTTAATTCATTGATTTTAGATCAAGTGGGTGTTAATCTGTTCACCGAGTTTGACAGTTTGCTTGCACACGTTTCGTCATCAATCCTGAAGGAACCATCAAAGCGCGGTTGCTTGTGTTTAGTGAAAGTACCTAACAATGTGATGCCTATTGCACACAGAGTGAGTAAAGATAGTTAACGTATCAACACAGGGGTCAATTAACTTATTAAAATAAGCAAGAATCGTACCTTCTCAACTTATTGCAGTATTCACCGACAATTATGACACCAGGATACATAACAATTAAGTGACCTTCTACAGTTTTTTTTTGAAATTGCATGGACTATCGTTTTCTTGGCTCAGTAATGGGAAAAGACTGATACGTTCTACTCGCCATGCATTTATCATACGTTGGTGTTAAGAATATTAGAGACGAAAACT